TCATTCATCCCGACGCTCCTTGCGTGCGGTCCTGTCGACAACGGGCGCGCAATGCGATGGCTGGATGCATGGAAGCTGAGGACAAGTCGAGAAGAAGACTGCACCGGCTGGGCCTTGCAGTCATGGACATTGCCAAAACTCGGGCGGCCCAGTGATAACTTTGAAATGGAAATTGCTAACCAAGCAGGTGCATCTGCATCGCCTGCATCTTTGATTAGCAGGGGTAGGCTCCGTTGGGCCTCTGTGCCACAGGGTCGGTGAGCCCCGTACAGCAGCAGCCCGGCTGTTGCTCGCGCTTTCTTGCCTTGTGCTACCTCCCTTCCTTCTTTCTGTTGTAGTTTCAGCACAGGACGCTGCTGCGTTGCCATTCGTGCTTGCCCGAGTTACAGAAATGTGCTTATTCGCAATGGCATCTCACGCAAAGGGAGCACGTGGCATTCAGAACTACACATCAGAGTTTGAACCTCACCGACACCTCTTTCCCAACCTTAATCCGGCTCTTGTAGAGCTCAAGTTATCGAGGGGTCGGGCTTGCTAAACAAACCAGATACTTATTTTGACACCATTATACTATGTAATTAGGGACTGTCTTGTGTGGACTGCTCAGCAGAGAATGTTCTATGCACGTTCCATGCCAAATCTCCATTCTGAGCAAGAGCAAAAAGCAAAAAAAGGAGCAAAAATTCCAACGTCGCATTTCTGTACCATGTAGTGGGCCGCGCAAGCCCGCTCCACCAACCACAAGCACAAGGGCTTGCCCCGCAATCTCGGTTGCTTCCGCCCCATTTCTGGGCCTGGGCCTGCAAGCCTGACCGGTGTGGTACTTGCAACGCGGGGAAAAGAGTGCGATCGACTTTCAGTACAGAAACACCAATGCTCTTCTGGCAGGCTTGTCCACAACTGATCTTCAGTATATATCACTTCAAGGTTCAAAAAGAAAAGAAAAATGATGGAACAAAGTATCAAGGGATAATCAAGACCAAAAACGAACAAAACGTACAACACCGGGTATTCGCTAATGGTCACCCACTTAACTACTAATCCGGCCCTTAGTGGCTTATTTAGGGGAGAGCGGACGGGATCCCAAGTTTTCCACTAGGTGTGGTCGTACGTGCTGGAAATGTGCTTGTTGGCGTTTATATTCCTCTGACTTTTCGAGATCGCAGATACTGTAAGTGGCTGAAAGTCGTGTACTTCGAGTACAGTCAATCAAATTAGACAAGGCAAGGGTGGCTGATATGGTCCAATAATGCATATACTCATCTGTAGCCCATTCTCTTTTCCAGAGACATGTACAGTCAGAGAGAGAGAGAGAGAGAGTAAATTGCCAATGATTGATCGTCAAGTATGCCTCCCGCACACTAGCGATAGCTTTCTTGCGTGCAGGCGACTCATCCAAAGACGATACTGACGCCCATCTGTTTACTGACTTGTCTCCATAGATCCGGTCCAGGACCACTCCTCGAAGCAGTACCACCGCACCCTGTCACATCCTTTTCGCCGCCGCCAACACCAGCATCGTCTTCCATCAAATCAGCAAGCCGCCACACCTCTTGCACAATATCCCACGCCCACTTAATATTCATCATCCCTTGCCGCTTCTCCACCAATTTAAACGCATCCGTCGCCAGTGTCCGGTCCTGTGCCGTGACCGCCTCGCAAGACGCCACAAAGAGCGGCCACAGCAGTGCTCCCATGGGCCCGGCATGTGAGCACGTTTGCAAACAGTGCCACAGCGCAATGTGCGCGTGGTTCTGCACCAGGGAATGAGTGCGAGAGTACCCATAGATGGTGTGATAAAGGTACACAAAGCAGCTGTGGCGGTAAGCCATGGCATTATTAAATATGGAATGGAGTCGGGATCTTTCCGCCGTCTCGCTGTCGTGTCTCTTGTCTTCGGTCTCGGGCGAGGGTGCGTCTTCTGGGTTGAAACCTTGCGGTAGCGTTGGCTGCCACGTCTCGAGCTCACGTTCAATGGCACGTGAGTTTGTCTCGAATTCTGTCTTGAGCACAGCAATCATGGAGGATGCCTGTTCACTCCGGCACGCACTTTCCAATTCCCACTTGTCTGACGAGAGCTTAGATAGCCGGTGGATAATAGGCCAGAGGGATGTGGACATGCCCAGTAGGGTATCGACCGAGCTCAGCTGGGACTTTCCAACCGCCAGTCCTGTGGGTGGTAGCGGAGGCAGACAACTCCTTCCTGGAGCTTGTGACAATGGTGCTGTGCCAAAGGATAATGCCGCAATCACATCGTAGAATCGAAAGGCCTGTTCAATGTCAATGAAAATTCTTGGCATCTGATAGTATCATTCAGTTTGAAAAGACCAGGTTCTTGTAATCGTACTCTTTCTAGAAACATCCCCGTTGCATCGTTCGCCGGCGGGTAAGAATTCATGATTGTCATTGCGCCTTTGAGATGGGCGTCAACAAGATTTGATCGGCCTCTTTGCACGAGCTATGAAACAAATCAGCAGGCTGGCGTGCTTGCATTCAACCTAAATGAATGTGGACCGGAAACTTACCACTTCATAGTATACCAGAAGCATGATAGCCGCCAAAAGCTCATTTCTCTTTGCGGGTGTCTTGATGCCACCTAAATTGATGATCGTCGCTAACCCTTGGATCGCTTCGTTGTGGAATTGGAGCGACTGTTCTCGGTTTTTCACGCCACGGTACTCGAGGTGAGCACTTGATAATGCGTAAATAGCGTTCATCACAGGCGACTCGTCTACCGTCAAGGGGAGCACCAATTCCTGAAACGGATTGCCTGTTTCCTCTCGAAAAACGATTAAATGGCTGAGCTGATTGCAAAAATGAGCAACAAGGGCCCGCCGGTTTGTTCGATCCGAAAATTCTGAAAACGCAGGCATATGAAAGTCGAGTAGTGGCGAACCAACCGGACACGGCGAAATCATGGCCAGGTCTGGCGGCCTCGAAATGTGCGTGACCGCCTGGCTAGTTGGTATGGTAATACTGTCGGTACGCTCGTTTTCGTTGTCATATTCTTCAAAGACCGAAGCTGCCTCCAAAGCAGACGAGCTTGAAGGCGAGCAAGTCATGTCCAAAAACGGTGGCCATGGATCTGATTCAAAAGAGGTGCTCAGAGGACTGATCAGGGGCAGATCCGCCTTGGAACCGCCGAGCTGGTGATACCAGTCATGGTAACCGCTTGTTGTGCTGGCTACGGACCACCGTCTAGTGGAAGCCAAAGACGGCCTGCGCTCGTGTGCGGAGGCGAAGGAGACGACCGAGTCCCTCTTTCTTCGTTGGCGGGGTCTGACGGCTTCGTAGGAACAGTCCAACCCGCGTTCGGCGCATCGAGAGCAGGATGGTCTGACTTCGTCGCATTTCTTCTTCTGCAAAACGTGTTAGAGCGTATGTTCAAGTAAGACCAGCTCTCTATGAGACTGCTTTAACAAAGTCCACTCGGTCCCGTGCACAGCAAATAACGAACCTTATCCTTACTATGAGCAGGGGAAGCCATTATTAGCAAGAGCAATCTTTAGGTAGAGAAGAGAAAGGGATCAAAGCCTAAATTGGGTGCAGATCACCTACCAAGACGTGCAGCCTGCAGAGACGCCCAACCTCGAACGTTAGCGAGAGTTCATTTGCATTGTGACATTGCCAGCCTTACAAGGTGCGGATGCACATCAAGATGAAAGAGTCATTGTGTTTTGGGCCGCTGTGATTTGCGTGCAGACAGGACGGAACCTCTTTTGACGCTGGCAAGCCGCAAAGGTCGCAGAAAAGAGACAAAACAAAAAGAACTGCCGAGGTCTTTGGTCACACCGGAGGGAGTACATACCAGCCCTTGACCGTCGCTTTGGCACTTTCGGGGGCGCCACCTTGGTGTACAGCAGCATTTTTGGCAGAACCGCCGGGCTTTGTGTGTTGCGAGGATCGGCTTGAATGCTTTCTCAGCCCCGTCTCAAGCCCAGCTCATGGGTTGGACGAGAGGCCAACAGGCGTTGTCGTTTCTTTCACTGATTCCTTCACTGATTCCTTCACTGATTCTTTCACTGATTCTTCTCTTTTCTCTTGTCTCTTCTGCTTTGCCGCCGCAGCGTTCAGCGTTTGCAGGTTGCGCAAAGTTGGGGTCGGGCGACGGTGGACAGGCCTATGAAGTCTTCGGAGTCGGCCGGGGGGGGGTGTGGTTCTGGCGGTTCGAGGGGCCGGTGGTCTGTTGCAGAAATCGGGGCAAAGGACTGCAACAGACGGTGATGCTGATTGCTAAGAAGCTGGTTTGAACGGTTGAGCTGGCGCAAGGACGACGACGCAGCGAGGTTGAAAATGGCGAGCTGAGTGGGAAAATGAGGCAAAAGAGCAGCGCACGGGAAGAAAAAAAGAGGAACACTCAAGGGGCCGTGGTCACAAGCTCTTCTGAAAGCCAAGATCGAGTCACGATGGCCCCAACGCCCAGAAAGGCTCCAACCCTAGGCCACCTCGGGCCACTACTGAAATACCCCAGGCGGCTACCCCAGGCCAGCCCCGGGCTACAGCTCCCGACAGGGTGGCACTTTGCACGCCAGCGGCAGGGCCTCGAGCATTGACTCGAATCTTGCAGCACTGCCGACCAGGCGCCCAGTCAGCCGTCACCCCCAGTTCGTCCCAACGAAGCCCGCCCGACGCCGTTGCAAATGCGCAGGGACGCTGGGGCAGGGTGGAGCTGACCTTGGCCTCGTTGTAGGCTAGGCTTTGCTCATGGACATTTGGCCCTGGGGTTTTCTCGTCATCTCATTGATGGATTGCTTTCTGCCTCTGACGGCGACATCATAGCCATGGAACGGGGTTTGCTGGATTGGGGGAAATGCGGGGTAGCCTAGGGTCAGAAACACCCTTGGAATGCAAATACCTAGGTACCTGAGTGTCTCGTAATGGAGTAAGCGCAACACACTAGCGTGCTGGCTGCGAACAAGTCGGGAAGGCAGGACACATCACTAATCTTTTATGAATGGTATATAATACTGATATTCTCTCGCCATTTCAACAATTCAAATGGCGCGATGGCAGAGTGGTCTAATGCGATAGACTCGAACGAGCTCAATAGTTCCTTCTTGAAATCTATTCTCTTCGGAGGCGTAGGTTCAAATCCTACTCGCGTCGTATTTTTTCGCAATGTTTTGCACCTTGAACAAGGTGAACGAGGCTCAGAGATGGGTTGGATGCACTCAGAACACCTTTTTCGTCGTCGTGGCGCAAACGCGAAGCTTTTTTCTCTTTGTGTTTGCTAGTGATGAGGCTAGGAAGCTCGGGGCGCTAGCTTGTGACGTTCCGAGTCTGCTTATGTAAGCAAGCAACACGACCACACGTGGCTGGAGGCCACCGAACAGCAAACAGGTGGGCCGCCATTTACATCCAAAATCGCAAGGGGCTGGCCTACCAGGCTGAAAAAAGTCACTTCGATTCTTGTTCACTTGGACGACGAGGCTGTGGGCAGTGGAAAATGAATGAACAAAGACTGTCAACAATCATGGGCCCCGACGGGCAACAAGCGCTCCATTCGCAGGTAATTCATCATGACTATAAAACGAGCGTTTGAGCCCTCTAAACTTCCAGAAATGTGAAATCCCCTATTCTTCCAATCTCTCCCCCTCTCGAAATGAAACCGGAAGGTATTTGTCTATAATTTCATGGGGCGGCTGGCTGTCATCTCAGTCCCATCATCCTCTTTTCCATGTTGCTGAACTGGGGG